TGCTCTTGGTATAGTTTGATAGGATTCTTTCAAACTCTTGTGTGTTATAACCTGTGAGAAAACAATTAGTTTTGATTCAGTGTAATCAAAACATGCCTGTGTCAATATTGACTATCGCTCAGTAACACTGTTACTAACAATGAAGTGGTCCTTACTTTACAATGTACTGGTCCAGGCATTGTTGTAGACTGTGAGCGGTTTCTCTCTTCTAATTTTGCAACAGTGCGAGATGACAGAGAAGCAAGGGATTCAGAGTGCAGAAGCCCAATCCCTCCTCAACTTTACTTCTGAGTTACATAAATAGGGACTTTTCAATAAAAAGCATAGGATCAGATCTGAGCTCAATATGTCCAATGTCACCTTCACCTTCACCTTCACCTAACTACTTAACGCCAAGGGGCGCATAAGGCCTCATATGTCCAATGTAGGTGACAAGAATTTGTCACAAACTGGACTAAAAAAAAAAGAGAGGAAACCATTGCTTGTACTTATTCCTGAACGATTTAGCTATTTGTCATAATTTTCCCATGTAAGAAAGGGGGAACTCCCTGGCATTGATGGTGACAATGCATATAGACAAGGAGCCCATGAAGCCCAGGATGACAGATATAGCCATATTTTCATTCAGTTAATTTTTTTTTTACTACAGTAAAAAACCATTTTAACAGACACTTGTAACATAAAGAGGCTACCTCTGGTTTTATCTCTCCAACAATCCAACCCTCAACAGGTTGTTTAACAGAAATCTTGATGTCTGTCTCAGATACAGTCTCAACATACAGAGACTCTGGGGAAGCCAACAGAATCCTGTCATGTGACCTTTCTTCTTCCATTATTTTCTGATAAAAAGATAACAGTAATGCTTTAAACCTATTTTGATATCTTTTTTTAAGTTAGTGTTAACATTCATGCCATTCATCACAGCTAAAATTATTAGTAGTCTACGAGGTAATTGTTGATGCCAATATTAATCCCAAATTACTGTCAAGCAACAATAAATTAATATACATCATCATGATGATGTTTCCAAGATTTGTTACTGTTGTATTAAACTGCTTTTTACTAGTGTGTTTTGGCATTCATACTTGGAGTGCATGTACATTGTAGGAAGATGACCTAACTGATGTTTCCTTGAGAAAAACATTCACCTCATCCAGGCGTTCAGTTAGTTGTGGCGCAGCACGAGAAACAGCGCCCGCAAAAATAAAAAAAGCGTGGCGAGATCTCACTGTGCTTTTTTTATTTTTTTCGCGCACCGTTTTGTGCAATGAACTCTAACTAACTGAACGCTTGGAAGAGGCTAGAAACACATTAAATCTACTTGTTTAAGTGAAAGCTGTACATTTTTGGACTCCTCATCAATCAACAAGCTGTTCTCTTAAAACTATATGCTTGGTTAATTCTCTTGAAAATGAAAATTAAAGTCAAACCATTGAACCCTTGTTTAGGTATACTTTGTGCAGTTGCACTACATCAGTTTCATAACATCAGTTCAAAAGAATGCTGCTTTGGAGAAATTTATATATTCTTAACTTCTTTTTCCAAGAGTAGTGTGTTAATCAACTGTCTYATGTAAAGTTGACAGGTTTTAAACAATTAAAATGTGCAAGCAGGAATTCATCTACTAGAACATATAACTTCATTTTACTACCCAGTAATCTAACAGATTTAGTACCTCTAGTGATGCTTCACAGTCATCAAAAACATATATGTATGCTGTGTAGTTTACACCAACTCTGCCCTCTCCTCCAAAGACAGCAAACTGTAGACGCTTCTTTGTTGGTTTGTTATTGTGAAGTGATACGCCAACAACAACATAAGTAAGAAGATAGTCCACATGGAAGCTAACTTCATTGTTGTGGACTTCATATAGCTCTTCATCTTTCCACACAGTCCTTTCATCATGTAGAGTTGAGCTTTTGAGTTTTAGATCCCACCCATTACTATAAAACACCAAGGCACTGTGTGGTATCCTGACCTGTGTTGGTTTAGACAGTTTCAACCCATAAGGATGAAATTTTACTACTGGACTAAGTTGAACTTCACCATCTTGGAGTGTACTTAAAACATCTGTGTTCCGACATATTTCTAGTTTAACTCTTGGACCATCATCAAAAAAACTTTCTGTGTCACTAAATTGGACTGAGACACCAGATTTATCAAAACATAGGGTCTCTTGTGAGCCATGAGCTGTTGGAGCCTCCAGTGTTATTGAGTGACTCTGTTCTGCAGAAAAAAAGTAGATGAATCTTCATAAGTTTCTTTCTCTACTCCAATGAGTATTACAAAGCTTTTGTTTTGGGAAGGAGGAGAGGGCGCAGGGCAACATGAGGTAAAATGACTTTATTCTGCAAATTGATATAGTGAATAGGAATCAATTCCCTTTTCTGAGTTACTGGACAGTAAGTAACAGCATTATCAGTAAAGTACATAATTTACAACTCACTGGTTATTTTCTTCAAGGTGATAGAGCAACTACTAAAATTAGCTTAGTGGTAATTACAAGTCACACACATAAAGCCTCACCTTCTTCTTGCTCAGATGGCAATAATATGGCTAATGACTGACTTCTTGGTAGCCTCTTGTACTTACGGTATTTCACATATTTCCAGATGACCATTACTGCAATTGTGCTAACAACTCCTAGTACCATCATGACAATAAAAAATGCAGGAGAATCTCTTTGGATTATTGTCCTATCTGTAAGGGCATTTTTTTGTTGGCACACATTGACAGCCCTTTGGGTGAAACTACACTGTTTGTTATTTGGCATATTCTGTTCAACACATTCAGTAACACGCTCATCCTGATCATCGTTACAGCAGGCAGAACATGGTTTGCATTCGGTACCATTTGCAATATAAAACCCTTTATCACATTCACCACAAACTCTGTCATGGGTCATATTACAAGGCACAAGTTCTTTCTGTCCAACAGAACATGTAGTACATTCTGAGCATTCTTTTTTCCCTGGTTTTTCTGAAAAGGTTTTTCCAGCAATACACTTTACACATCTAATATCATTGATGTTTTCTACAATGCTTCCACATTGTGGGGAAAGTGAATACCCTGATGGACAGTTTTTGCAGTTCTTGCAGTATGTACCAGTTCTTGTCACGATGAGGTATTGACCATCTTGACATTTGGGTTGACAGTCCATTTCATTGGCATCACACTGTTTGTAAAATGGCATGTTTTTGCATTGGTCTTTGACAATATTTCTCCCATCACTGCAGCACCACGAGCAAGCTCGACAGTCACCAGTCATTTCTTCATAATAGAACCCACTGCTACAGCTGTTATTACACTTTGAATTAGACTCCAAAGTACATTTCGCTATTACTTTTTGATGATCTGAGCAAATGCCACATGGGCGACATGACTCGATATTATGTTTTGCGGAGTATGTTATCCCAAGTTTGCAGGGTTTACATTCTATTCTTGTTCCATATTTAACATAACTACCACACTGTGGACTCAAGCCATATCCAGGATGACAAGGACTGCAGTCAATGCAAGATAAATTGCCTAACACATTTTCAACTGTGAACTGGTTGTACTTGCACTTCAGTGAATAAACACGTGTACATACCTAGTGGAAAAAAAAAATGCTCAAAATCTGGAATACAAGAGTTAGACTGTTTAACTTTGTAGGATTTGTACCACAGTTCTGGAAATGTTACTAATTAGCAGACAGAAGTAAAAACTTTCTTGTGTGATACTCGGTGCGTACTCTGCAAAGAGGAAGGACTGTCTTCAGTCTTTTTGTCGTCCCACTTGCTCAAGAATTTCCAGGAAAAATTCTCGCCATATGAATCTTTAGGACATTCTTAGCAAGACTATAGAAACGATAATACTCACAAATAACGTTGTTAGGAAGAGCAGTGCCAATAACTTGGCCATGATCTCAACACACTTTAGCCCTGCAAGAAATAACCCCTTTATAATCAACGCAACCAGTAATGTAATAGAAGGTTGCACGTTAAGCTTAACAAATAAATGCCCACAATGTGCTGACGAGTCGAGTTTTTCTACATACGTCACATTTTGGAATTTGATTGCTCAGCATATTTTTCTCCTTCACTTCCTCCCCGCGGAAATGTTTATAAAAACATGTACAGTCCAAACTGAACTTACGCCTTGAACATTTTGACTTATCAACTCTTAATTGTTGATTTTATGAAATATTGTACACTGAAACTCAGGTGAAGAAATTTCTGAACATGGCGATTCGTTGCCATTTCCGGATATCGAGGTATTTCCGTAGACACCAGTACTAGTGCTGTCGTGAGGACTTTTAAAACAGTCTTCTAGTTATTAACAATTGGAAGATTTTTACTACTTACGATTGGAAACTGAGGATACAAACCTTCAACGTTTCACTGGGGAGTACTACGCGTGGTGGATCAAGCGAAATTGCCAGCTCATCACAATTTCTAGAATATTAAGTCGCAAGGAATAGGGGAATCCCCCGACGACTAGTACTTACAGTGAGCCAATCGGGTCACTCAAACTCCGATTTCACGATTGTCATTGGTGGATCTGAAAGGTGCTTCTTCAGCAAATTCTCATTTCGTCTCTTTTTAAGCCAAAAATTCGGTATATATCATCAATCCAGTCATGGGTTTTCAAGGGACAGGCTGCAGAGAACACCTCTCTTGTCCTGTTTCGTCTTCGTAAAGCGTCCTTTAATGGACAGAATGGATGACACCGCTGAATTTGCCATTTTTCACTACGGAAGCGCGGTCGAAGCCGAGTGCCCTAACTGTGGAGACGTCCAAATACCTTCCACTGGCTTCACCAACATTTCGTGCCCAATATGTAATGGGGTTCTCTCCGTGAACAATAACTCTCACCATTCCCAAGTTATTCGAAGTAGTGACCATCGTGAGGGGAACCTACTTCCCCAAGACGACACAGACGAAATGAACCAAGAAACCCAAGCGGGAATTCGAATTCCATATCCGCCAAGCAGTCCAACCGAAGATCCTTCCATGCAATCGCTCACGGCCTCTTTCCTACAAGTTTCGACAGAGCATACCGCTTCAGGTGTACCCCTACAAGAGGGTTTTGATGAGAGTTTAACATTTGGCTGCCCCCCATCTTTGGAACGAGTTCAACAAAGCTCGGGGAAACTTTCGAAAACTCCATCAGAGGGACATAATGATGATGAAGTCGTCGACATTTGCCACACTTGTGGTACGTAGTCTGAACATTGTAGTTGTAGTCTGTATGCTGTCAGAATACCGTAAAATTTTGATAATATAAACCCTGGGATTCTAATTGTGCAAAAGGCTTTTTTTTACAGTTTACTTTAAGAGGGCTTGTTATCGGGAAAGGAGGAGCGGAGGCTTATAATCGGAATGAATTCCGTTTTTTGGGTCTATGTTAGGAAGGGATATTGTGTGGCAAAACATTCGTAGGTACATCGAAGNCATCGTGAGGGGAACCTACTTCCCCAAGACGACACAGACGAAATGAACCAAGAAACCCAAGCGGGAATTCGAATTCCGTATCCGCCAAGCAGTCCAACCGAAGATCCTTCCATGCAATCGCTCACAGCCTCTCTCTTGCAAGTTTCCACAGAGAACACCGTTTCAGGTGTACCCCTACAAGAGGGTTTTGATGAGAGTTTAACGTTTGGCTGCCCCACATCTTTGGAACAAGTTCAGAAAAGCTCGGGGAAACTTTCGAAGACTCCATCAGAGGGACATAATGAAGATAGAGTTGTCGACATTTGCCACACTTGTGGTACGTAGTCCGAACATTGTAGTTGTAATCTGTATGCTGTCAGAATACCGTAAAATTCCGATAATATAAACCCTGGGATTCTAATTGTGCAAAAGGTTTTTTTTTTTTACAGTTTTCTTTAAGAGGGCTCGTTAACGGGAAAGGAGGAGCGGAGGCTTATAATCGGAGTGAATTCCGTTTTTTGGGTCTATGTTAGGAAGGGATTTTGCGTGGCAAAACATTCGTAGGTATATCGAAGAATAGCATCTGCTAGGGACAAAACCTCCTAAACAGGGCGATATAAAACACAACACAAGTCTTATAGTCCTTTCACGTAAATTAAACAAGTGTATGAGCATACTATAACGACATGAGGTACAAAACAAGCTCCAAAATTGGGGATTATCGGAAGTTATCCTTCTTCAAGAGTTTCAAGGGTCAAAACTCCAGGAATAATCCCACGTTCTTTTAGTCGGAAAGGCTACCTTATTATCGGAAGAAATTTGCGTCTGAGATTTGTGGGGGTGTAGATTGGAAGAGCTCATTATCAAAAGTTTACGGTGTTGTATTCTGGATTGATTGATTCAAGTTATTACCTTCTGTATAGCCACAGTTGGCTATAGATCTAAGCTCCCCACTTCTGTTTTCTCTAGGTAAGTTGAATTCAGACCACAAGTGTCTCCAGTTCCGTCTGGCGGTTTTCAAGAGGGGTATTATCTCTCGGAAGGAACCAAGTTTCGGCATCTATTTTATTCCATGTGACAAGTTTCACTCGGTAAGCTACCTCTATTAACGATGCGTTAAAATGTAAAAATCAATCAATAAATAAATAAATACATAAATACATAAACAAATAAGGGTCGAGTGGACGGGTTGTGTGGATAATCAGATTATTAAAATAATTTGTGAAAGCGTTTAAGACAACTTCTAACTTGAAGTAGTACTAGTAAATCCTTAGTTATAAAAATAGGCGCCATATTGGCGCATGTGACTACTGCAAAATGCAAAAAGTAGAACTGTCCCATATATGCAGTCATGTGGATAAGAATGTATGCAAATGTTAGGTAATGAATGCTGTTGATGCGAAGCATTATTGAATGCTAATAAGCCACTGTTAAAGAATGATTAAGTTTGCCCAAAAGAGGAAAAACGAAGTGGTTGTTACCAGGCCATTTTCAATGCATTAAAATTCTAACGTGGCAAGAGGTTTAGGGGAATAAACCAAAATAAATCAATTACTCATTCCTCAACCTTAAAGTGATATCTTTAGTTGTAAGCCTCCGTGTTAGAATTTTATACATCAAAAACGGCCTGTTAGTACATGTGGGTGTTGCCAGTGTAAAAAAAATAACAAAATCAAATGTAAAATTATCAGCAGTGCATGATGTATGGTGTATGAGAAGTAGTCAGTAAAGAAACATGATCAGACAATAGGAAACTTTTTTGTCATATTTCAATGAACTGATGACTGACAAGATTTATAGTAAACAACCCAATGAGAATGGTACAATTAATTAGCAACAATTCTGGGGATAATTGAGAGTACACGTATTATGGCAGAAGTAAAGGTAACTTTTGCTACAGGCAGCACTACAGGGATGATTTCTTTCATTTATCCATCGTTTTTTCCTTTCACTGTACTTTTTATATTATTTTGTTGCGAAGTTCATCATTTACATTCTTTTACTGGTTTATGGAAGAGTTTCACAGTTGTTAATTAACATGGTTTTTGCGGGAGCAAACGTTTCGTTAAGCTGCATTCTGGAAACTATTTAGAACATTGAATCCTAGTTGGTTCAAGCGACGTAACTGAAAGGCGGGCTAAGTTCATTCAGGTACAACACTTAAATAGTTTCGTTCACGTTCAGTTAGTGTTAAATACAAACGTGGAATTGCGATTTTTCGATTTTGCCAATTTTTCTCGTACGAGACTGAACCCTGGGTAGTCACTCGATAAAAATCGACATCGGAAAACCACCAATTCTTGTTCCCCTTGGAGGTTCGAATAATCGGGATTCCACTGTATGAATGAGATGATAGTAATATCATTTCCGTTCTCTGTACATTGAAGTTTTATCATCCAGTATTGAATTATTGTTTTTCTTTTTGAGACTTAAGAAAAGTCATTGCAAATTTTATTGATAATCGTTTAATAAGGAAGTTAGTATTGGTGGTTTTGGGAACTTATTTATATGTTTTGCTGGTTTTGTTTCGATAAATTGTAAGATAAACTTGAATCGATATATTCGATATTTATCGATAAAATCAATAGCACTAAGTGAAAAATCGATAATTATCGATTACTCACAACAAAGCCTGTTATTTTTATCGATTATTGATTTTATCGAGTGACTGCCCCTGGAACTGAATCGGCAAGGGTTGTTTATTTACAATACGCGTCGAGAAATCGATACTCAGTGCCATAGAAATTTGCGGTTTATCTCGTCCTAAATCCTCACACAACCTTTCATCTGATCGGTTGGAGACAAAATATGAAAGCTGTGAGAAGTAGATGTTGTAATATATTACAACTCACCTCAGTTTCGAAGAATACATCCAAGAGCTGAGATCGAAGATCTTCGTATGCCATCGACGGCTATATCGGCAAATCATCGTTGATACGAAGTGTTTGCGAGAGACCACAAGATGGATGTTTGTTGCGCTGATTGGCTCGAAAGTATATTCTGTTTTGTTACTTACTTACTTTCGGAAAACTCAGATGATGGCAATAGTGACTGCTGCGCAAGCGCAGTAGTCACAAAAATTGGTCTGTTGTTTCTTGGTTTCAAGCTGTTGCATAAGGAGGCCGCGTAGCCGTATGGTTAGGGCGCCGAACTTGAAATCTGGAGGTGGCGCATTCAAGTCCCGCGCAGACCACTAAGCTGGAGTTGGTTCTCGGTAGACCCTAGTTCAACTCCTCGGCAGCGCTTCTAAATAGCCAACTGGTCTGAGTTTTAACCATGTTATCATTTGCATTACTTGTTTAATCGTTTGGTTTCATCATACTAACGCCCCATCGGGGGTCAATTAAGATATTTATGTTTATTTACATTTATTTATCTAGGTGTTTGCTAAAATAAGTCAAACAGAA